ATGGGCTTGGATGGCACGACACGAAAACTAACGGGCGGTGCCAAGCACGGCACGAAATAAATGGGCCCGAAGTGTGCCTGTGCCGTGTTGGCCCAAGCACGGCCCAACTCCCATGTACAGACTCACGCCGGGCCCGAACCCTGGTATTTCGGGCAATGTTTGTTGAACGGTTGCACCAGAGGAGCTACCTGCAGCCACCTTCTCCGGACGCGGCGGCTTGCTTGCGCGCAGAACCTTCTTAGCGATAACCCTGAGCGCAGTCTCCACCGTCCGCGCCGCCTTCGACACCCTCTCTGCGGCGGCGGGCTGCTCCACCTCCTTCCTCTTCTTCTCCCCGCGAGGAGCCCGGGAAGCCTTCACGACGTCATCCACGGACATCATACTCACCAAAGATGAGATATCCACACCTACGCCAAAATGTCATAAGAAGCCCGTTAATATGACCAAAATACAAAGGAGAAAGAAAGCAACCAACCATCTCAAACAGTTCCTCCAAACACGCCGCCCAGACTCCGCTTTCATAGAGGTTGATTCTTTGCGAGAGGCACCCCTCATACTCCTGGTCAAGACCGTCGTACGCGCCAACGTCCGAATCAAACCCATTCATGATCCCCTTCTTCCAAACAGTGGGCTCCTCTACGTACTCGCTAGCCCACTCACTAGGAGCGGGCTTCACAAAGAAAAATCGCTCGAACCAGTTCTTCTCGAGCTTTGGCGAGCCGTAAACGTACTTATCTGACCTCTTATCCCTACGCTTGATAGATAAACAGTCACTCTTCTCCGTCGGCCCTTTTATCTTGAAGATCTTGCGGAACAAGCCGTAAGAGGGTTGCAACTTCAGCCTTTTACACACAAGGCGGAGGCACGATACATGCATTATCATCGACGGAGACAGCCGTGCAACAGAGCACTAAAGCCTCCTGTACAAGGCGCACAACAGCGGATCGACAGGGAATTCGAAGCCCATTTCCTAGTACTCAGAATGGACCCCAAACCACCCAGGGGCAATTCCCAATCTGACTCCGCGATGTGGGAACCGCGTACTGCCAATTGGGGGGGGGGGGGGGGGGGGGGGGGGGACTTCCCTACACCCATAGATGGACACATGATCTGGTCCGCGCACAAGGTTATCGTTGGGTTGTCCCACACCACGGACTCCAAGGCGGTTCACGGCTTAAGTCACCCACGAGACGCAAACCAGATCTGACGAGGTGTCAGAGGTCTCCACCAGATCAACAGGAACGAAGTCGGATCCACTAGCATGCTCGCGCCGGATGATCAGAACCCCGCGCGCGCGTGAAGAAGATCTGCTACCCATATGCCCAATCATATCTACGTTGGAGGAGCCATGAAGAAGATCCCGTCCAGCGTCGACGTTGTAGTACGGCGTCGCTGGAAGTCCCCCATCATCAGCTCCGCCGCCGTTCCCGTTGTCGGCGTCATCCAGATCCAACGAAGGATCAGTAGAAAGATGCGAAAGTGGAGAAAGAATACCTTCTTCGTCTTGAACGATCTCGATCTCGTTGTTAACACCATCATTGGCCATCGTAATATGAGTATTGACGACGATATATCGCAGAAATAAGGTCGTGGGAGAAGGAGAATGATCTCGCAAACAGATGACTATCTAGAGATAGGAAGCAAAAGAAGTAAAAGAGCAAAAGGAAACAATGACCCCCCCCCCCCCCTCGGTAAAACAGGAGGAGTATTTATAACTGACGAGGGGTAACTCAACCGACAAAGGGTTACCCAACGATTGAGTGTGCATCGAGAATCACAACCATGTCCAATCAGCGATTTTGAATTTTACAAATTTCCACCCAAACGAATGAACGAGAATACGCCACGTCGACACCTATAAACCGCAGGCTAAAGGAGGTGACGTCACAGGTTCCGCACACCGCCTGGGGGCAAGGTCTTCCCGCGGAAAGGAAAAAATATTCAAGAAACAACACCAGCAACGCGAAATCAAAAGACAGAAGAAGAAGGAAGCCAAACAAAAAAATAATAATAATAAATAATGAACATCGCAAATAGCGAGGTCGGTCGCGCATGATCAATAACAAGAATACACACGGAGCTGCGGAGAGCGTTGACCCGAGCCTCATGTGCAAGAAACAAATAGAGGCCATTCGTGGAATGCCCCCTGATGGAAGGCAATTGTTGGGTATACGGCTTGGGTCTGATCGTGCCAATAAGTCAATTAAGTTCCGCTCATAATGGAACGTCAGCGGTCGAGCCACCACGATCACAAGAGGAACCAACTCGCGGAAATACTTTACTCGCGGAATAGTCTCCGCGCGTATAAGAGCGCTCACCGAAGTCAAGGCGCTAGACGGCGTCTTTTTGCTCGACCTAGTCCGGCTGAAGAAACCAAGAAAATGACACCGTTCCCCCAAGCGCTAGACGATGTCGTTTTGCCCCATTCAGTCCGGATGAACAAGCCAAGGAACGACACCGTTTTCCCTCTGGGGAACGGTCAAATCCTAGTCCTAGGTATAATCATGGTCTAAGTTTCTGTCAATCTCATTAGTCATGTCGCATTAATTATCCACCCACCACAATGTAACCCATAAATATGACATTTACTCCGGTGGGGAAAGAGATCGCATTTTGACTCTCTCACTCTAAAATATCAACTTCTCTCTCTAAGATCTCCTCTCTCTCAATTATTGCCCACTTGTACCCATGAAATCACCGGAAAGAAGGAATCAGGCCCTGTTTGCTCACTCTTCTCGCCCCCACTTTTACCTGAGTCTCACTCCTACTCTCAGTTAGGCTTAAACAATTATCAAACATCCCCTCAGTTAAAGTGTCCGTCGAAGAACTGTAAACCGTGGTCGAACAGTGGTTTGGGTGACAAAAATGTCTACAATATCTCTAATAATTAACTCACTTTAACATTTTTAGTTTTATTTTGTATAGCCCAATACCCCTAATAATTTTACTTTAGCGAGACTTGGAGAAATAAATGGATGATCAAAACTGAAATTTACCCTCCCTTATGCGAAGCTCATATTGTCCAAACCACAGTTCGATTGTGGTTGCTAGTTGTTTATGAAAATTTTATCAATATGATATGTTTGATAATGTTTATAAAGTACATGAATGTATTTTATATAAAAATATAATAAAAAAGTATTGGTTCTCGAATTGCGAATTGCAATTTGTTTTACTTAAAAGTAAAAGATAACTGATCCAATGAAAAAAAATATAATAAAAATACTTATTTCATAAAAATACATACAGCATATATTATGATTTATAATGATCTCTAACAAATTCTTCATCGGAGCTCCATGCCCAACGCAAGAACTTCCAAAAAGGAAGAGCCATAGTTGAATCAGGAACATTTGACTTATCTATGCAAATTTCCGTGTAGGAATTGTGATGGCAGGCCTGAAATTTCGAGTGTGATTGGTCTGTTCTAATTTCTAATGACAAAGCTTACATTTGTTGTGTTTTCGGATGGAAAGTAGCAGCTGTGTTTTTTTTTTTTTTTTTTGGTAGAATCGCAGCAGCTGGTATGACATCGTGGGCGAAAGCGCATTCTTCTTTTTTTTTATTCATTATTTGGTAAGACTGCTTTGCTTTTTCTTTTTGTTGGAAAGTTGGTTGTTAAACGAAAAATACATGAACTGGCTGGCCAAATTAAAGTTCAAACTTGAAGGAATTTTTGGTTAATCAGTAAATCAAATCAAAGGTAAGAATTTATCACTAAAACACAACGAGGGAAATTAATTATAATATTCATGCACTAAGAAAAATGAGTGGGCAAAGTTGAGTTTATATATACACACAACATACTTCCAATTAAAGCTAGACTCTTGTCCTCTTTTTTAAATTTTGTTGGTACTTGTCGAATATAATCATATAGTGTAGAAACATAAGTAATTTTACTCAAAAGTAGTTAAAATACAGCCTAATTGAAAATGATTTTAACGTTAAAAAATATTTTATCATAAACTAAAACCATCAAATCATAATTATTAATTTTATATATGCTTCCTCAACCTTATTGTCGATTTTACATTGTCTACTATCAACTAGAACTGTAATTTTTAATTTGAATTAAAAAATGTGGTTTCTTTTGTGAGATAGTTGGAATGATTTATTAAATATTTTCGTGATGATATGAATTTGAACTTGTTTATGGTCAATGATAATTTCATTCTTAAATTAGTGTAATATACAAGTCTTATATGTTATATATCATTAACGGTTCTATCAACGGTTCACCAACGATTTTGTAACGGTTAACCGGTGAACCATTAAACCAAAAACTTTTCCGGTTCAGCCTCCGGTCCGGTTTTGAAAACGGAGCATTTAATGTTGGTTTTTGCACAATTCAGAAATGAAATTAGTTTTGAGACGAAATGAATGATGGAAATATAAAGCTGGAGTTAATTATAGCATGCACTGTAACAGCTAATATTAATTGATTTATTGAGTATAAATGTAAAGAAGTTTTTTGACTTATTAGGGAAGATATTACTCCCGGTTAGCTCCACCACCTCCATCACCACCCCGGTTGAAAAGAAAAAAAGTGCAGAAACCATAATAGGAAAAATAAAGGAAAGTAACAATAAGAGAAGGACGGAGAAGTGCACTAGTGTGCCGTTTTTTCTGTTAAACGGGGGGAGAATTTGTGGGTCCCAACCCTCCCGCCCCTCAATCCTCAGAAAGGCCCCATCTGAACCTCCCACACAAAAAAGACTTTAGAATTCACCAATCAATTATTCGGCAGGCGCAGCTGATGTAATTTACGTACACATTCTCTTTTTTATTCCCCGCCAAACTAAAAATCAATCATATGTATGTTCATGCAGCCAGGAAGGAGCATTGCCACTGCTACTACCGTCCACCTTTTTCTCTCTCTCTCTCTCTCTCCTTCCACCAATCCCTTCACTTTCTCCCTCTCCTTCCGTCCAAAACATGCATTCCTCTCCTCTCCTCACCTCCCTCGCTCACTATATATAGTGCCCCCGTCACCGCCCAATCCCAATCCAAGCTAACTTACTTACTTGTCAACTCATACTACGTAAGTACTAGGCTAATAATTAGGAGTGAGTGAGTGAGTGACTTGACTGACTTCCCCGGCCCCTTCTCCCAAACAATGAGTCGCACTCTGCTGCCTAACTCTTCTTCCCTCCTCTCAAAACGCCACCTCATCATCGGCCCTCGAAAATCGCGGCGGCAGCCCATGCTCCGCGTGGCGCTAATTCACTACCCTTCCACATCGTGCTGCCTCTCCACAGCTGCAACGCCCTTCACCCCGCTGCCCAAACTGGGCAAGAAATGGAGCGAGTACCAGGGCCTCAACTACTGGAAGGGCCTCCTCGACCCAATCGACGACACTCTGCGAGCCGTCATTCTCAGGTACGGCCAGTTCGTCGACGCCGCCTACGACTCCTTCGACTTCGATCCTTCCTCGCCTGCATACGGCACCTGTAAGTTCACCCGCGGCTCCCTCCTCTCCGGCCGCGGCTTTACCGGCTACCGGGTCACCAAGTTCCTCCACGCCACCTGCGGCCTCCACCTCCCTCGCTGGGCCTCCGCCCGCTCCACCTGGATCGGCTACGTGGCCGTCTGTCAGGACAAGGACGAGATCGACCGCCTCGGCCGCCGCGATGTCGTCATCGCCCTCCGCGGCACCGCCACCTGGATGGAGTGGCTGGAGAACCTACGCGCCACCCTCACCTGCCTCGACGACTGCGGGGCCGGCGACGACGCGCGGCCCATGGTGGAGAGCGGCTTTCTCAGCATGTACACCTCCGGGACTGCCACGTGTCCCAGCCTCCAGAGCACCGTCAAGGCCGAGGTCGCCAGGATCATGCGCACCTACGGCGGCCATGGGGAAGCGCCGCTCAGCTTCACGGTCGCCGGCCACAGCCTTGGAGCCGCGCTGGCCACGCTAGCCGCCCACGACATCAACTCCACGTTCGCCGACGCGCCAATGGTGACGGTCATGTCCTTCGGCGGGCCCCGGGTGGGCAACAGAAGCTTCCGCCGCCGGCTGGAGAGGGGTGGAACCAGGATACTTAGGATCGTCAATTCCGATGACTTCATCACCAAAGTGCCCGGCTTCGTCGTGGACAATAATAATAATAATAATAATAATAATAATAATAATAATAATCACAAGAACAGTACTGCTGGTGAGTTCCCCATGTGGGTGAAGAAGCGCGTGGAACACACGCCGTGGGGTTATGACGAGGTGGGGAAGGAGCTGCAGCTGAGGAGCGGGGAGTCGCCGTACATATTCAAAAGGGATGTCGCCACGTGTCACGAGCTGAGCACGTATCTCCACTTGGTGGATGGGTTGGCGAGCTCCACGTGTCCGTTAAGAGCCACGGCAAGGAAAATGTTCAACAACGACTTCTGGTGTGGAAAGGTTGGGATATTTTAGTTACAGAGCTGAGAAAAGCCATCGACAACAGAAAGGAGGTGACGAGGAGGATAGATTTATACACATATCCGAACATTTTTAGTATAAAGCTTAGCCAGGGTCGGGATTCCTACATGGCTTAATATAACTTAATTATTATAAAGTAGCTAGCTAGATTTTGCTTTCTTCCTCGTTTCCTAGACTATACAAATGGTTATTAATTATTAACTGCAGATAAAAAGTTTCACAAAAAAAAAAATTGCAGATAAAAAGCACAAGGATTAGCGTTATCCGGTAGAACCGAATCCATTCCAACTGAGTTCCTTGCTCCTCAAATAGTTAAACGAATTGAGAGTTGAGACACATTCTAGGCCGAAAGAGTGGCATAGGAGTGAATGCATAATAATAATAATAATAAGGTATTCAGCTTGAATAATTAAATCTGGACTTCAACTTTTAGTGGAGGCACAAAAGTTCATATTTAAAGGGTGAGAATTAATATTTTTAAAAATTTTCAAATTATCTTTTATATTCTTCGTTCTAATTTCAATTTCAATTTTTTTTGCCAGATGGAAAGAGTTCATTGTGATTTAGAAAATCAGATTCGTTTTCAATATATTTTGAGAAAACAAATTTCATACCACATGTTATCACCATTTTTACCTCATAATTTTTTAATTTGCACAGAAAGAACAAGTTCATCGTAATCTATTAAATCCACAAAATTTATAATAAAAAAATACATGATCAAAATATACCACTACATATCCCCTGATACAGTGGTGGGGTGGTAACTACTTATATAAGCTGTTGAACTTGCAATGTCTAAGCACTGAAGAACGTGAAGGGAAGAATTGCAACAGGTAAATCAGTTGGTGTTTAAACTATTTTATTACTTCGATTCCTTTTACAATATATGCGCCTTAAATAATTTTCCTAATTATTTTCCACGCACAATACTTCCTTCCAAGGTTGTCAAACCGGTTTAAGTCATTGAGCCGGTCAAGCAAGGGGTTTGAGGTTTAATGGTCTGATCGGGGTCCGGCCGGTTTGAGCCGTTTTAGACGTTTTCTAAATATATATACAATAAAGTAGTAATTAAAAATTTAATGAGTGAAATAAAATTTATCTTACATATATCTATTAAAAACTTATTTTCAACAAAATAAATCTACCTAACCTCCATGATCCACCTACCATTTCCCTTCCTTCGTTCCTTTTCCTCTCTTCTGCCTCTCTTCTTCTCCCTGTTTAGGGGTCAGACCGGGGGGTTTTCTGGAGGCCGTTTTGAAGCCCGACTCGGGTTGAACCGGGTCCAACCGGGGGTTCGATAGGGGTTTAACAACCTTGCTTCCTTCCCTTCCCTCTCAACTTTGGCTTTTGAGTTTTGACCCAATGGAAACTCCAGTCGACGTCTCCTAGACTCCACCTTGCAAGGAAGAATCTCATCGAGAAGCATTGGGTTCCCTGGAAGCAGTCGCGGATTCATGGAAGTTTAGGAGTGTCTCGAAACACTCATAAAATTTGAGAACACGATTATCAAATCTCTGATAGTAGTTTGTTTATGGATAAATAAATATTTAAGTGATAGTAGGATACCCTTAAAATTTTCAAAAAGGATTATCCATCATCTCGTAGTAGTTTGCGTATGGGTACAAATAATATTTAAGTGGTAGTCTATGTGATTTGAACTTGTAACACTGGTACTAGTAAAATATTTTTAATTAGACTACAATTCATTTGTTGTTTTGTTTTAGATCCAAATATAATAGTAACATGTTATTCTTATCCCCAAATATTTTCAAAATTTAATGATTAAATCCAATTACGGGCCACTCTTCTCTAGTAGGATATGTCGAGAGATATTTGTTGAGCATTATAGACACCAAATATATTTTATTATTTTTTCATAATACAAAACACATGAAATTTTATTGTAAATTTTACTAGTAAGATATTTTCATATTCAATAATTTTTTAATATAATATATAAATTTAATAAAATTTATTTATTGAGAGAAGATACCACTATGTAAAGTTCTTGGATCCATCAGTACCTGCAAATAAGCCATTCGACTCTTAAATCTGCCTCTTCTCTTCCAACAAAACGTTTCTTCTGTTGTGGATTTGAATGGTGGACTTTGGGTTGCCTCTCGATTTTCAGTCTATTTTGGTCGATTACTTGGGTCTAATTAAGTTCAGGTGGCCCACACATTCATTTATGTTTTTTTGGCTTCCGAATTCTAGCATATTTTTTCCTCCTTTCATCATTATATTATGGTTTGTCGATAGTTATTTGATTCATTATAGCATCGTGGCCCGAATTTTTTTTTTTATGAATCGGGTCTTCTATTTCATCAAAAAAGGGTGCTGACAACTACCCTGCCAGCTAGGTGGAATACGAAAGAAGTCTCATCAGACTCAAACACGCAAACTATAAACTAAACCAAAAGTGTAAAACCTCGACACAGAAAGCTGATACAGATTCAGCCCCTCACCCATATTTTCTGAGCGAATAACTCCCAACCCAACAGCTTAACCTCCATCTTCACAATCCGAACCAAGGCCTTTACATCCTTCCTATCTGCTCCAAAGGCTCTATTACAACGCTCACGCCATGTATGGCTCAACACAGACTGCCAGATAAGTCTCCCAGCAGCAGCCTCCTCACCTTTCCAACCAAAGTTCTTGATCACCCAATTCAAACCATCTTCCCTGTTCCGCGGCCTAAAATTGGTATACAAACCAAATAGCTGTTCAAAGGCCACCTTGAAGTAACAACAAGTGGAGAAGAGATGATCTCTAGTCTCAACACATACATCACATAGAACGCATGTGTCTGATCCCTGGAATCCCCAATCTTTCATATTATCTTTCGTTTGAATTCTCCCAATGACAATGAGCCAGCATAAGAATTGATTCCAAGGGATAGATGGACCCTTCCAGATCAAATCTGCCCAGGGAACCCTTAGTTGCTTTGGCCTAATAGTTTCCCATATTGCTTTTATAGAATATCTTGGCATCTCATGATCATTCCATAACAGTATGCCATTAGATAAGCTAAAAAGATTAGGAACTTTACCTTTGATCTTCTGCAACTTCCGCCAATTCCAAAAGCCAGCAGAGTTATTATAAGTCCAGAAATCCCTACCTTTTAGTTTGTAAGCATTAATCCATGCTACCCAAATCGAACCATGCTACATCATAATAGGCCAGATCTAACTGAATACACAAGTTGTATTCCAAGAACCAAGCTCTCTTAATCCCATCCCTCCTTCATCCTTGGGGAACACTAGGTATTTCCATGCAACTTTAGCTTTCAACCGATTTCCATCACCAACTGACCACAAAAAATTACTACAAATACGCTCAACTTCTCTTAACACAGTCTTGGGGAGAAGGAAGACACTCATCCAATACTGAGTGAGGCTATACAACACTGATCCCACAAGTTCAAGGCGACCATCATATGTTAATGTTTTAGTTTTCCAACCTTGCACACTAGCTGTACTTTTATCAATCAAGGGCTTGCAAGCAGGCACATATAATTTCCCAGCTACTAAAGGGACTCCCAAGTAACAAACTGGGAATTTCCCCAAAGTATATCCATATCTTCCTGCCATTTCAACCATATCCTCCTTTTTCAAGCCACCTAGATACATCTCACACTTACTAGGATTCGACTTAAGACTAGACAGTTGATAGAAAGTAGTAAGAACTCTCCGAATGCTCTGCATACTGAAGTTAGAGCCATCCGAAAAAACCAAAAGATCGTATGCAAAGCACAAGTGGGTTATACCAACCTTCTTACACATTGGGTGATAGGGAAAATATCCTTTCTGAGCAGTTCTATCCAACAAACACGTAAAGATTTCCATTGCAATCGTGAAAAGATAAGGGGACAGAGGATCCCCTTGCCTCAACCCTTGCTTTGCTTCAAAATAACCTACCAGCCCCTATCGACTTAAGACTAGACAGTTGATAGAAAGTAGTAAGAACTCTCCGAATGCTCTGCATACTGAAGTTAGAGCCATCTGAAAAAACCAAAAGATCGTATGCAAAGCACAAGTGGGTTATACCAACCTTCTTACACATTGGGTGATAGGGAAAATATCCTTTCTGAGCAGTTCTATCCAACAAACACGTAAAGATTTCCATTGCAACCGTGAAAAGATAAGGGGACAGAGGATCCCCTTGCCTCAACCCTTGCTTTGCTTCAAAATAACCTACCAGCCCCCCCCCCCCCCCGTTAAAGGCCACACTAAGCATTGGGTGCTCAAAGCACATTTTTATCCATTTAACAAACTGAACAGGGAAGGCCATTGCTCTCAGAACCCCTCCCAAAAAATGGTAGTTGACAGAGTCAAAGGCTTTCATCAAATCAATCTTAAGGGCTGATCTACTAGATATGTTTGTCCTAGCATATTTATGCACTAGTTCATGGGCTAAAAGAATGTTCTCCCCAATCACCCTCCCTTTCACAAAAGCTGTTTGATTTTTGCTGATTATGGAAGCAGTTCACTAAGCCTATTAGCAACAATTTGGATATGCATTTGTAGATTATGTTGCAGCAGGAGATAGGCCTGAAGTTTTTCATCTCTTCAGGATTGGGAACTTTAGGAATTAAAGCTAGTATAGTAGCATTTACCTCCCTTGGTATCTTCTTTTCAACAAAACAATGCTGAATTGCATCAGTAATCTCCTCACCAACTATCCCCCAAGAAGCCTGGAAAAAATGTGCATTGTATCCATCTGGCACTGGACTCTTATCAGCCCCCATGTGAATAAAACTTCTTTTTATCTCTTCTGAGGTTACTGGATCACACAGTCTCTCGACCTGATCAGTAGATAGAGTCCGCTTAAGAATATCACCATAATATCCATCAGGGACTTCCACCACTTCACTATTAACCTTCCCAAGTAATCCTTTATAGAACCCCACCGCTATCTAACTCATGTCATCAACCTCAGTCACTCTATTCCCCGAAGCATCCAACAACGAGGTAATTGTATTTTTCTTCTGTCGAGTCTTCACAGAGAGATGAAAATAACTAGAGTTTGAATCCCTTGTCTTCAACCATAGCTCTCTCGATTTCTGCCTCAAGAAATCTTCTTCACCTTTTAGCAATTCAGCCAGCTCCCGTGAAAGCTGACTCTCTGGCTCAAAAATTGGCCCAGATGGATTATCAAGAGCATCCTTCTGTACTACTGCTAGTTGTTGCTCTTTCTCTCTCACCCTACCCCTTATATCATAATATTCCTCCCTGTTTAGCTTCTTCAATAAACCCTTTAAAATGCGAGCTTCTTATAGACCCTTATGAGAGGAGACCCTGTAACATGGGCACCCCAAGCCTCCCTTAAAAATCCCTCAAAACTTGGATGCTTGAGCCAAAAGTTGAAGAACTTAAAAGGTTTAGGGAGAGACTTGACAAGAACCTCAGTTTGACAGAACACAGGACAATGATCAGAAATGCCAGGAGATAACAGCTGCACCTCACTATCCTTCAACCCCTCCAACCACTTTAGATTAACAAAATCCCTATCAAGCCTTTGAGCAATGGGATTCCCAGCTTGTTTGTTCAACCACGTAAACCAAGGTCCAGTTGCTTTATGCTCCTCAACCTCTATAGAGTTCAACCACCCATCAAAATCTGCCATACTAGACGAGTACTGTGGATCATTTGATCCCTCTCCTGGATTTCTAATAGCATTGAAATCCCCCATAATGATCCAAGGCATATGAATCACTCAAATTTTGTCCAGTTGCTCATACAACACCCTTCTCTGACCTTCATCATTTGAAGCATACACAAAGGTTGCAAAGTAAGGTACTCCATCATTCACCATAACTTGAACAAACTGGTCTGATGAATGCAGAACAGTAAGAGAAACTTCCTTCTTCCAGACTAACCAAATCTTACCAAGCCCAACATCATTATAAAATATTCTATTATTCCAGTCAACAAATCTCTTTCTGAGAAACTTCTTCTCATCAGCTTTATGTACTCGAGGTTCTAGAACAGCTACTATATCTAAGCGATACTGTCTAATTTTATTTAGTATAGTAGTATACTTACTATCTGCTACAAATCCCCTAGTATTCCAGGCAAACAACTTCATTTACGAGCTTTACCACGACCACCTTTTCTCCCTCTTTTCCCTTTAGGCTCCACCTGGGGGTTCAATCCACACCTTCTTACCTTTATCAATCACAGGAGGAGCAAGATTCTCGTTATCCAACAAAGCAAAGCGAGAGCTAGGAGTGACTACCTTAGCTCGAAGAGTAGTCTTAGGGTCTAAACTCCCAGTCTGAACTGGTGATTTAGAACCAACAGACTTTAGCGAAGCATCAGGAAGGCTCCCAACTATAGTTGATGACCCCTTGACAACTTATGCAAAACTCACTCGAGCCCCCAGTTGATGAAGGGGAAACACTCTGACTACCGACATGTATCGTATGAGAAGGAGAATTCAACTCCTCTGTTACTGATGCCTGATTCACCTCCTGCACTACCATTGCAATTCCTACCAGCTCTCCAACCTTTTCAAAACTCACATCCAATACATCAGCAATCTCCAAAGTAGGAGGAGCCTATTGAGTGTCATCAGTCAGAACCTCCACACTTTCAGGAGCAGAGATCTTCTTTGGAATCCAGACCTTCTTAGGACCCTGCCATACCTCACAGTCATGACCAAACACGCAGAACTTAGAGAAAACCCTTGGTAAGTAGCTATATTCAATCTCAATATCAAAGGTCGGATCATCATCAAGGTAGATGCGTATAGATTGAGGGAAATCGAAATCCGCCCCCAATTCAAAACAAGCCCGTACAAAACCCAGCTGGCCCCCAACTGAAGATACTCCAATGGCAAACCCCAGATTCACACCCAAATAGGAAGTGTACCACCGGCTGAATACCAGGTTTCCATTTGCGGAAGAACACTGGATTGCCACGAAAATGCCAAGGTCCCGAATGGAACACCCAATTGCACGAAACGGCAGATGGAAATTGAAACACCAGAAGCTTCGGACCAAACCTAGAAACACGAACAAGGCCATCACGACCCTAGAGAGCGTTCTCCCAAGCTTGAAGTTTCGGAGTTTTCGGTCTTGATCCCACAAATTGCCCAATTAGAGAATTTTTCCACCGCTCCGCCTCCTTCTCCTTCTCCTTCACCTCCTTTGGAAGACGAAAGCCATCCATAAATTTGATCGGCGGCCGATACTGCAATCTGTTCTCTGGAGCAACAGAGAAGAGTTGTGCCCAAGAGGAGCCCTCGCCGATCGGCTCAGGCTCCAACGGCGAGGCAGCCATCAACCCTAACCCAAATAGCAAGAGAGAAGAGAGAGAGAGAGAGAGAGAGAGAGAGAGAGAGAGAGAGAGAGAGAGAGAGAGAGAAGAGTGAGCCCTTTATTCCAAGATTTTGTCACTCGTGGGCCGAATTTGATTAATATTATTATTAATTTTTGGTTGGAATATTCAATTATTATTTAGTTATTTATATTAGTTTGTGTCTAGGATTATTATTAATTATCTTGTCTTAACTAGGAAGTAATCGTTTACTTGTTGGTTTAGGATTGAGTTACCTTATCTTAAGGGGAAAGGGTTTGTAGGATTGGTCCTATAAATATGTATCTTTGCTCTTCTATTTACATTCAAGCAATAAATTTTAGTATTTATAAGTAAATTATTAGTATTTATTATAATTATGATTATTAATTATCGGATGGAATATTCGATTAATATTTGATTATTCATATTAGTTTGTATAGGATTATTTTTAATTATTATGCCTTGTCTCGGAAGTAATCGTTTACTTGTTGATTTAGGATTGGCTTACCTTGTCTTAAGGGAAAAGAGTTTGTAGGATTAGTCCTATAAATATGTACATTGCTCTTTTATTTTTATTCAAGCAATAAAGTTCATTATTTAGTAGTAAATTAGCTATCCTTTATCACATTCTTTAGTTCTTTCGTAGAAGCGTTCTAGTTTTACAACGCGTGAGATCCAATCACGCATCTTTTATCTTAATGTAGCTCTACTTTCCTGAAGTTTTAAACCATGTCTATGATTTGTTTAAGCATATGCTGGCTAGAAGGTTTATTTAATTCTGCCTACCATCTGCCTAGTCTTTGGAGCCTTGAATATGAGCAGTGTTGATGAATATGTACTGGGTGTCAAAACCTATCACTTTGTAGTTAGAGGCAATGTGGGTGTGACTGAATGATATGGTGTTTAGAGGCAATGTGGGCAAGATGGAACACTTGGTGTTGTTTCTTGCTTAGACACACATGGGTGTTTAGTTTTCACCATCTACTGTCAATTGCATAACAGTCTTCTCGTGCTTGTAAGATTGGAAGTGAAGACAATGTGGGTTTATGGGAGAGATTGCTTAGACTCTTCTAAGTGTTCTCTTTGTTATCTGATTGTCAATTGCATGACAATCTTGCCTATTTTATGGTTCATTTGCTCTTTAAGCCATTATTTCATTTGTGAATAATTTTCTTACAGACCTTATTTTGTTTCGAAAGTGGCTTTTAGATTCTTTGGTTGAGATTTGAGAGTTATCTGGCACTTAAAGAACTTCACGTCTAATTTAAGTGCAAGGTCAGATTGGATAGAAGGTCAAATTTGAAGGATCGATTCAGCGCTTACTATATGTATGATGTTGAAAAAGTTTTAAAGGTTAAAAGTAATTGCATTGATGGGCATGTTAGAATTAGGTGTTCATGCATAAAATGCAATAATAGCTTCTTAATAGGATAATTATTTCAAATATCAACCCGAGCCACATATATATCCTTACTTCAGCCTTCTACAAATTATCTAGCAATGGAATTGTTGTTAAAGCTAAAGAACTAAACAAACAAGCAATTAAAATGATGTTTGAATTCAATCGAGAAAAGCTCACTCAGATGTTATTCCCCCTAGTCCCGTGCTTAGGTTGCAAATGTGATACTCAAGTGTGATACGCAAACATTCTACACCGGTTATAGGTTGCACTTGGCATATAATTGGGGTTAAGTGGTACGAGTCAACAATTCCTTTGAAGTAGTGGGAATTGGAAGATCCAATGGTAATACGATGTTGATAACCCCGTACTTGTCGAGTTAAATTTGTCCCTATCCTATAATTGAGTACACCAGATAATAATTGCAAATTTCAAGATTTATTCCTCTACGATTCATATTAATGATACATAATGTTGGATAGTTTGAAGGGAGAGAGAATGAAAATACTATCAAACATAGCAAAACATTTGTAGAGATATTTTATTTTATGCAACACCAAGGCATTGAACCAGATGTCTCAGTTTCAACATTGGCGGCAGGGGCGCAGCCAGGATTTGGCGGTCCCCGGAGGGGGGGGGGGGGGAGCGGATTTCTTACTCTATAATCGCGAGAAGACATTAAAATTAACTAAAATAATCAGGGAAAACAGATGTGTTATATTATTATAACTACACTTTTTTAAGATGGCTAAAATAACTCCAAATAAGATCTAAAGTTCAAATTTCTAACATGATAGGTTCATTATATATTAAAATAAAAAATCAATTAAAATGTAATTCAATGTAGTGTAAGTGCGTAACACATTTCATTTTCATTCAAAATAAGGTCTACAATAATACCATGACATGTTTAATATAAAATTAAAAACAAGCAAACAAATTAATAATGCATTTCAAGTCAATATTATGTAACTCATTCTAATTTCATAATTTAAAATAAATATCATCAGCACCCCCGAGAATTTTGAAAGCTACGTGTAAACATTCCGAGCATTTTGAGATTTTCGTATAAACTTAAGAACAATTAAATATGTTACAGTGCACCAAACTATCACAATAATACTTGGCAGTCCAGCGGATGCAGTGTTTGCTTATTCTTTCCAAGTCTTGGGTTCGAAACCTCGCCCCTGATTGGCGGCAATTGAAGGCATCTACAGCATTGAGGGGTTGATGTTGCCTGGTAGTGGTATGTTCATGTGAATTGCAAATATACGGACGGTCGAAGATACACGAAGAAGAAGAGATGGGGAAATAACGGACTGGAGTGTTTGCTTATTCTTTCCAAGTCTTGGGTTCGAAACCTCGCCCCTGATTGGCGGCAATTGAAGGCATCTATAACATTGAGGGGTTGATGTTGCCTGGTAGTGGTATGTTCATTGTGAATTGCAAATATACGGACGGTCGAAGATACACGAAGAAGAAGAGATGGGCAAATATACGGACGGTTGAAGATACACGAAGAAGAAGAGATGGGTCAAATATATGGGTTTTTAGTAGAGAGATTTGTACCCAATCCCTCACAAATTCCTTGGAGTCAAATCTCCATCCAAACTATATGCCCAAAACTAAAGATAAATTGTAGTATAAAGCATATAACGGACTGGAAAATATACCCATCCATTCATAATGATAGCCAGGCATCAAATAATTCCCCTCTGTTCTTTCTCCCATGTTTTTGGTTCTTTGTTGAGGGTAGATATTATGTATACAATGCAACCATTTACGTATTCCCTTTCTGGATGTCTCCTTCTCAATTTTGCTTTACATGAGTTACATTTGCAATTCATCTTTAACAACCAAGTACAGCAGACTTGGGGTACTGATGATACGATGTTCCCATGAATGATTGAATTGATAGCAGAAGGAAGTGGGACACTACTCCAGTATAAGTGAAAGTTAGGGGGTCCATATTACTGTTCATTTGGCGCATAAACAATTCCCTTTAAACAAAGTGTTCCCTTGGTTTGGCCTCAAAGAAGAATCAGAAATAGCTTTTCCGCTTCTGTGCGATTTTTTAAGGATATTATATCATAGGCCATGTATGTTCAGTTTCTAATATGCTATTTTAGTACCTAATAGGTTTAAGAGAGGAAAGAAAAGGTAGTGGGTCCGCTACCTATTATAAGAAAATAAATTTGATTAATGTGATTAATAGGATGTGAGTTGTGTGATGAATGACAATATACTTGGTAGGATGTGATTTGTGAAATGACAATATAATAATAATAAAAGATCACATGACGAAAGAGGAGTGCATATTTAAAGGCTTGGATTCCGGTTCAAAATCTTAATCTGCAAAACCCTCGACCGTATCATCGTATCACGACATATTTAAATATCTGATTAAATATGGGTCGATATAATTCAAAATGTAATCTTATTGTTGGAACAAATGGAGTTACGTAATCATTTTCTCTCAAACTATCTATTCCCTTTTATTTATATAAAAAAAATTGATTTTTTTTTATGAATGTGTGTATGTATTTATCTAAAAAGTGGAGGGTCCATAATAAACAAAATTTGATTGATATTTCATACATGCGACTAGCCAATTATTATGGATGAGCGTCGCCGATGATGGTGGTGTAGAGAAGAGGAAGGATGTTGACTAATAATGTTGTTATCTTTAGATAGAGAAGACGATGATGGTGGTGGATCCAAAAAGTGCAGAAGACAACATTGATTTGTAGTATTGTTTATATGATTTGTAACATTTGTACTTTGTAGGATCATTAGTGAATATTGTGACTGATAATGTTTGCTAGTTCTATATTCCTAACATTTGTTAGTTTTCTTTTGCAATATTTATATGTCTGATTTGTAATGTTTGTCTGACTATTTCGTTTTTATTATGATTTGTAATTTTTGTTAATCTATCTTGTCAAGTTTGATAGTTAGAACTTATAATGTCTTTTAGTCCGGTTTCTATTGTTTACCTGACTAATTTGTAATCATTATATAATGTTTCTTAGTCAAATTTGTATGCACTACAAGAAAACTGGTTTCTAGTCATAGGATATTCTTTAAGTGAATTTTTCTCGTACAAAGAAGTACAAAAAAAAATCATGGAAAAAATTCCCATGATAAATTGTATATTCTAGTCACGGGAATTGACAAATCTGTTTTTGAGTGTCCATCTCTCGTGACTAATGTGTTGTTACGGTAAAATTTCTGTGAATAATGTGTGTTTGAAAACATTTCAATCTTTTACTTAAATAAGTTATCATTCATATCATACATTTTGCACAGCTGGTTTAGGAGTTCAAGGCCCGACTTCAAGGTCACGATCGTGATTCACAGTCGCGACCTTTCTTGTGGCTCCGATGCATAAAGTCGCGAGTCGACTGTTTAAACTTTCTGTTTCTTCCTTGTTGGCTGCTCCAAAAGTTTGTGCCCGAAGCCTCCAAGTTCGTGACCATGATTTTCGATGCAGAGGTCGCGATCATGTAGCTCTGATTCACGCCCTCTCTTCGTGATAATGATCTTCTTGCCTTCTAACTCGTCTCGAACATCACAATAAAAATCCGAATCAAGGCCCAAGCATAAACCTTAACCGGGTGCAATGTAGGGCAAGTATGTTTTAAAAGTCAAACCCTGGTCGGTCCATGTACCCCTACTTCGATTGTTTGAAACATTATCTAGCAAACAGTTTTTGGTTGAAACTGATTTAAAACTAAAGTGATTGGAAAAGTAAATGGTGGGAACACTAATTGAGAAGGCTTCACCAGAGTGTTGTACCCCATAGCTACATATAAAGGTAAGTTAAATCGAATGAAACTGCATTGTAAAGGTGGTTGATAATAGTAGGAAAGCGCAATAAGTGAATCGGGTTCACTCTCTTGATCAATTGGCTAAGGGACTACAAATCAAGCTACCTAGTTTATCAATCTAATTGCCATTCTAACCTAGGCAGAGAGAAAACCCCCCCCCCCCCCCTCCTTTCTTTGAAAGAGAATGCTGGGTTTTCTTAGGCAATTCATTGTCCCCTGGTTAGGTTAATGCAGGGCAAACCTCCTATTTCATATTAGCACCTTTGGTTGTGGGTGGCCGTCGAAACTCCAATTCGAGGGTGAAGTCTAACAATCCTTAGTCAATAGGTCGAGAGAGTCACATTGGTGACTTGGATCGTATCCTCTTCCCTCAACCTAGAGACTAAGAGGGTGGCATTGGCTACTTGTTACACTTCCCTGTGGTTTACAACCCCCTCACCACACACGCCCATTCGATCCGACAAGTCGTAATTGCTAGCTAGGGGGAGCAATTGTGGGCCGAGGCAAGAAGGAGGATATAAGAGGAAGTTTTAGCTGAGAAAGTCGTTGATTCCGTAGAAGAAGGAAGTGAAGCCGAGATGGCAGCTAATTATACCACTCAAGGAGGAGCGGCCGCGGAGAAGCAACTGAGGACCATGGGCTATTACATAGCTCCAATGGCGGCGGATATTCAACCCGACATTCGACATCTACCCATGGCCGCCAATAATTTTGAGATCAAGCCCACCCTTATCACCATTATTCAAAACAATTCACTATTTCATGGGCTTAGCAACGAGTCTCCAAGGGAGCATATTCAGAAGTTCATTGAGCTTGCGGGGAGTTTGAAGATCAATGGTGTCATCGAGGATGATTTGAAGTCGAGGCTATTCCCCTAATCTCTTGTGTGGAATGCGTCTCGGTGACTCAACAATAGGCTGACTCTCTCGATCACTTTGTGGGATGATATGTCAACAAGTTTATGAATTGGTATTGCCGACCTTCAAAGATGGCGGAGTGGCGCAAGAAGATCACTCATTTCGAGCAAGAGAAAGGTGAGACATTGAGGGATTCTTGGGAAAGATACTCTGATTACTTCCTCTAATGCCCACATCATGGATTCGAGGATCAATTCCGGATTGAGACCTTCTATGGAGGTCTCTACCAAGACGACAAGATCCTCATTGACTCCTTATGTCAAGAGAAATTGATAAACATGACTCCAACCCAAGTGACCGAGTTGCTTGAAGACATGGCAAGTAAAGGGTATGATTGGGGCTTGACGAGGAGTGGAAAGAGACCCTAAGGGGAGTGCAAAGTGTAGTAACGAGTCCCCCACTTGAATCCAAGATTGATCGTTTGATTGAGGTACTCTTAGAGGACAAGAAGCATGGGAAGAGGCCGATAATAGCGTGTGATTGGTGTTCAAGTACCAACTACAAGATTTTGGATTGTCAAATGATGAAGGAATCAAGCACACCCAAGGAGCAAGTGAGTTTCATTGCCAATGCTAGGGGGAACAACCCCTTTAGAAACACTTGCAACCCGGGGTAGCAAAACCATCAGAATTTCTCTTGGTCTTCTCTGACCAATCCAAGACCCCCCGGTTTCCAAGGACCAACGGGAAATTATCAACCAAGGCCTACGTTCATTCAACAAAGATCGCAATTCCAAGGTTCTAACTTCCAACAACCTTTTCAAGCTCAAGGAGGTCAAGGGTTCCAACAACCCGATTAGTTTTCAAAACTTGAAGACCTTGTGACCACCTTTGTGAGTACGAGCTCTCAAAAGTTTGAGAAGATTGAGCAATTTATGGATGTGGCAACAACAAATTTTACCTCGGTTGAGGTAGGATTAAGGAGCCATCAAGCAAGCCCTAAAAACTTGGAGGTGCAAATTGGCTATCTTGTCGAGATCCTCACCGAGAGGCCATGGGGATCCCTACCCTCTCAAACCATAGTTCACGGTCTTAATGGCCGTAAAGTGGTGCCTCCGTCCGTGAACTAAGGGTGCTCCCCCTAATTGCAAAACTCAGCGTTTAACCCGAGTTCACGGTCTGGGATTTATGACCACGGTCTTAGTGACCGTGAACTGACACCTCCATCCGTGAACTGAGGGTTCTGTCTATAAAAGGGGCGTGAATGACTCAGATCACTTCACGACCGCCCCTTCTCACCAAAAATTTTGAAAACCCGCCGGAAAACCACGATTTTGTGTCGATTTTTGTAGATCCCGATGACCTCTGATCTCCAAAACAAAATACAACCCCGTTCTCCTCTCACCAAGGCGCACCTTCGCCTGAGTTTTGGGGAGATTTGGGGCTAGTTTTTTTCTGGTGGAGACCTTATATAACATGAAGCTGGTGTTTCAGGGGGAGAGAGGAATTTAGTTCCTCGAGGGACTTCGAGCCTCAATAGCTCTGAGACCCCAGGTTGACCCTGCACCAGTGCAACCTGATCTAGAGATTCCTCCCCAGGAGCACACACCCATCAGAGCTCCCAGCTGCCGACGGTGCACCGTGACACCACCATCACCAGCTGCATCATCATCTGGAGCCGGACCCTCTACCTCCGAACCCCACCTCGAGGAGCGAGTGGATAGCCTCGAGGCACACTATGTGGGAGTCACTGCTCGGCTCGAACGCACAACCGATCTCGTGGAGAGGATGGCTCGACGCCAGGGCGTCCTCTCGGATGACAAGGAGTGAACTTGCCACGACGAGGTAGCCATCGAGAGTGATATGTGGCAGAGCCGATTTCTTTCGCCCACTTCTCCACTTGCAAACTCTGAACTCTTTTTATATTTCTTTTTAATTTTCCTTTCTCCTTAATTAGTATGTGAACTAGTCCCTTGTGAGTTCTTTATTTTAAATCGTATTGTGAAACCTTGTTTTGTGTAATAACCTCACCTCGAGCGAGAATGTGCGTGTGTTTGTGCTTCGTTTTGTTTCTCCCTCGAAGCTCAAACATCCTACCCCGGAAATTTCTCCAACTTTCATTCACCAAGCCATGCAGTAACATCGCTCGACCCCCTATTTTACGCCATTGAGGGAATGTCGAGCTTAAGTGTGGGGGGTAGTTCATTATTATGCTTGTGTGTTTGAGTGAATGCTTGGAGCCTTGATGTATGCCCAAATTTGAAAATTTTGAGGGCTCCAAGCAATGCATGATCAAAATGGCCGGTTGGTGGTTGAATCTCGTGCTTATTTGGCATTGATCTTGAATTATTGCATGTAATCGAGTGCATCCTATTATGATGACTGAGAATGTATTAAGGTTGTGAAAAAGCTTAGTTCTCATGTGTGCATAAATGAATGGATGTCTTGACTTGGTTACTTCTTGATTACATCCTTGTGCCTCGGAGTTCTCGCTTTTGAGCTCCATTGAGGTTCTACATAGGTGGTTTTGCACGGTTCTTGCTAGAATAAGAAGGTAGTGTTGGAGGAAAGTTCTTAAATGGAGAGAATTTTTTATTGTGAAAGATGTGGCATGTGTTAAGCTCTCTAGTACCCCCCCTAAAAAAATATCAAAAAGAAAGAAAAGAAGCGAAAAAGAGGTAATAAAACAGGGTAAATAAAAGTAGAGAGTGACCACAAAAGTCGAAGTGCATGCTCTAGAAAAGAGTTTCTTGGCACTCAAACCATTGAAACACCTAAATTGTTTGAGACCTCCTTCACTACTAGATTTGAAATGTGAATAGAAAGATAGGCCGGAGAAGTGTGCTTAAATGTAGTTCGTGAATGGTAGTGGTTTGGAAGAAGGGAAGATTGGTTTTTGGCCGATGCTAGTGGCCTTTGTTTGTAGGAAAGGTTCTTAGTTGAGACCATAGAACCTTGGGTTTTAGGTTGAAGATGTAGGACCTCATGCCATGTTTGCCACCACCCAAAAAGCCTTTTCCCCATGTACAAGACAATTGCCAGTCATTTGAACCCGTGTCTAAAACCTCCGGACAAGCTAGTGATGACAGCCATCCAGTGAACTCTAGCATTTAGAGGTTTCCGTTATGGTGGAGAGATGATAGGGCTGAGTGTTGATGGTTGTGCACATCTTTTGAACCAAAACGGTCCTGACCCCACTGGTCGAGAGTGAGTGATTCATTCTTGTTTTACATTTTTATATCCTATCCCAGGGAGCACCTTTGTCGCCTTTTCATTTGTTCCTTGGACTTGAGTTCTATGCATGGTTAATTGTGGTTGGTGAGTAGGACGGTCGAGACTTGCATTGATTTGTGAACATGTTGAGAACTTTTCATCTGCCCATTATTGATGAATGTCATTTGTGGTGGATGTCGGTATTGTTGAGGCGGTTCATGTGTTGATGCCCAAATAGCAATTGAGATTCACCGCTTTGTACCTTTTGATTTGTCCCCAAGTTATCTTGTTAGGTTGAGATATCACCTAGATTAAAAATGGTTTGCCTGGGGACAAGCAAACGTTTAATTGTGGGGGAGTGATTCGGGATCATTTGTACACTTTTTACTCCCGCTTTGCTTAGTCATTTGAAGTATTTTTAGTCCGGAAGGTTTGGTTTTACGCCTGGTTGTGCCTCTTTGTTGTTCAAAATGAATGGTTTCATTTTTGTAATTTTCTAATTGTTTTGTTTTGGTGTTTTTCAGACTTTAGCAGGTGGCATCCAGTGCATAAGTGATGCGGCATGTTTCATTGTTGGTTCACGGTCTGGGCTTTTAGTTCACAACCGTGAACTAAGAGCGTGAACTGAGCCCGATCTGTATATATAAAGGAGGTTGAGCCCAAGGAGAAAGAGAGAGACCTAGTGTGAGAAACTTCTTTTTCTTCTTCAGATTTCTAGAGTGAGAAAGTGACAAACCAAAGAAAAGAATAAGCTAGGGTTTCATCTTCAAGCAAGGAATTGGGAATTCCTCCCCCAAAGGAGGATCTCTTCAACACAAGGAGCAAGGCTAGCATCTCTTTGATGGTTTCCCTTCTTCTCTCTTGTGTTTTCCCTTCTCCTAGCATGGAGTAGTCCCTTCTTTCACTTGGGTGTTTGTATATCCTAGCTACAATCATGTGAATGCTTGAATGGATTTAATGATTTGGGTGTGATTGTGTTTCATGTGAATGTGGAGGTATTATTCATGAATGATTGTGTTGTGTGAAAGCCTATCAATCTAATTGTCATTCTAACCTAGGTAGAGAGAAAAACCCCTTCCTTTCTTTGAAAGAGGCTTGAATACTGGATTTTCTTAGGCAATTCATTATCTCCTAGTTAGGTTAATGCAGGCCAAACCTCCTATTTCTTATTAGCACCTAGGGTTTGGTTGTGGGTACCCGTCCGAACTTTGATTTGAGGGTGAAGTCTAACCAATCCTTAGTCAATAGTTCAAGAGAGTCACGTTGGTGGCTTGGATCGTATCCCCTTCCCTCGACCTAGAGACTAAGAGGGTGGCATTGGCTACTTGTTACACTTACATACGGTTTACAACCTTCTCACCACAAGCGCCTATTTGATCCAACAAGTCGTAATTGTAGCTAGGGGGAGCAACACCCGGGTGAAGGCTTCTCAATTAGTGTCAAATCCTGTTACACTTCCATATAGATTTTTTTTTAACCAAAAACAAATCCCTATATAATGTTACAAACAATCGAAGTAGGGGTACATGATCCAGCCCGGGTCGATATTTAAACATACTTGCCATGTACTGCCCCCGGTTAAGGTTTATACTTGGGTCTTAATCGGGGATTTTTAAAGTGGTGCATTCAGGTTGAATCATGCTTAAGCGTTTAAACATTGTCAAATACATCTCTATTTCGTACTTATTTGGTTTTAATGTGTTTATAAGGTGTACTAGTCAATATGTGCAAATTAGGTACAACACAAGGTCACAAGGGTAGAGAAGGGGCAAGGATCAAAGATCGTGGCCTAGAAGCCAAAGATCACAACCGGGATTTCCAGTCCAGGAAGACTCACTGAAGATCGGGGCCCAAAAGCCAAAGATCGCGACCGCGATCTTGAAGGCTCAGGGCGCGAACTTTGCGAAGAAGGAGCCTTGGAGAAGCAGAGAGTTTCCCCATTCGCGTCACGACCAAAGTTCAACTTGCCCGCGAGGAATATCACGGTCACGAATTGAGGATCGCGACCGTGAAGTCATCCCATGATCTCCCCCCCCCCTAGACGGCCATGACGACGTCGTCTTGAGATCGCAGCCTATCATCAGAAGATCCCGCCCGCGATCTCCCATCCTCGAGCCGCAAACTTCCCCTAGTCCCGAATGCCTATAAATAGAAGACCCATTTCCCCATTTTAAGGAGTTGATTTTGG